ACTGGACAAGACCCTTAGTACACAGTCTCACTGCGTGCTTCCCTTTTTCGTTCTAGGGTGCGGGTCCACCTGCACAGTATCCAGCTGGAGGCTCTTCCACAAACCCCTTCTTATAGCGGTCCAACATGTCAGCTGCACTACAGGGTCAACAACTGGCACGCTTGCACCTATTGCACTGTTTTTGTTTCACAAGTAGCTTTAAAAACACAATGTTTGTAAGAATTTGTATTTTCTATCGCAGTTTGTCATAAATGGAACAATATGCGACACAGTCGTGCTGACACTGTCGAAGGCTACAAAACAGTGATGGTGTGTGCAGAGGGGGAGGTCGATGCACTCCCCTTTATTTAACCTGTGAACTAGCCTGGCCTCTACTGAGCCACAATGTAAAATCAAACTGGTTGAAAACTAAGTTATTGCATACAGTATATCCCATTCATTATGCTGCAATTCTGTACATTTTTTTTTCTTTTAGGAAATTAGCTCTTTGTGCATATCAGTATTTGTATCTAACACCCAGAATTTGCTAAGACAGAACTGTTGCTTTGAAAAGCTAATGGGTACTGCCAGTTACTGTATTTGTAAAGAACCAAACTATTTGTGCAGGACCCTTTTAGATAAACTGTTCTCACTAAGGAAATGAATATATTCTGTTGTCAAGGTGGGGTTAGGGTTAGCAGGACTGAATGCTACATCAGGGATGGGTGGGGTGGGGGGCTCGTTTCTCTGTTGTCTCCGCCCTGCTGACAGAGTTGCAACACTTTAAATGACAGTCAGAAGAAATGGCTGATGAACTGAAAACCACTTACTTGCATTGGGTATTAAAAAAGTTTAAGTTAAGGTGTAAATATATACAGTATATATATTAAAATGAATTTTAAGTAAAAAGAAACAACCAAAGCATTCATTTATATGGATGTATGAAACATTCTTTTATTGTTTTTGTACAAAAAAAAAAAGATTTCTATTCATCATGTTGAAGTAAGTAATTTAAATACTTTTTTTCTGTTACTTATGAACTAATGTGAGGTCAATTTAGGGATGGGAAACCGTAACTGACACACTATAACGCTCGATACGTGTTCAGAATCTGTGTTCTTCGCTGCCTGGAGTTTCATCTTTGTCTGGAGGAATTGTCTCTTTTCTGCTTCTTTGTGCTCACCAAATACTGAACAGACCCCGAAGTAAAAAAACAACAGAGATAACCAAGAAGTAGCTGGAATACACGGTGAACTGCAAAGAAGAGTACATGTTTAAAAGGTTAATGACACTAATGGACAAATAAACAGTGCTGCTGTACATATTTTGTGATCTGATGGCTTACCTGGGGAATGATGGCCAGGCCTAGCCCTCTACTGTCAACTACAACAGACGTGATAATCGTCTGTAGAGCCAGTGCTCCAAAGGTATTTGACCCAAAGACTAGTGCATATCTTTCCATTGAGAGATCAGCTGCAATCTGATACCTGCAAGCATAGAATTTGTCTTAATCTAAAGGTTGGGGAGGTTTTGTTTTTTTTAGGTTTCTTTTTTTTTTTTTTTTAGGCTTTTTGCTCTTATATCTGCAATAAAAGGTAAAGTATAACCCTGATGTGACTTGACACTCTTACATTGCTATAGTTATCAGCGTCATGTACAGTGACTTGAAAATGATGTAACCGCTGTAGCAGACCCAAATGTTGCCAGTGAAAGTCATGAGGAACAGTGAAGCTGCACTCAGTCCAGAGAAACCACCCAGGGCCAGCTCTCCCCACTCCTCCCATCTTACCTCAGTAAAGCCTATCCCGTAGGCAGTGGCTGCACCTGGAAAGCATGTACACGTGGGATAAGACAAATTAGGACAGCTGATTAGGTACTGAGAAATCTTATGTGTCCCTGATAACTTCCATTTGATTTAGGGAGGGGGGGAAATGCCATCTAATGTTGCTTACTTAAGAGGTTTGAGACTGCCTCCACGCCTCCGTTGTAAATGCTGAAGTTCTGAGAAGGCTGCACGTGCTCCCAAAGCACCTGTGCAGTATGGTGTGGGTATCATTAGGTTGTTCAAGGATGTGTGTGTGTTTAATTATTGCTGTTTAAAATATATATCTAAAATGCCTTTTATTAACACAAGAGAAGGCTTCAGCAGCTACAAGGCACTACTTGTTCACTGCAGGTACACCCATCGTAAAGCAGCTCCCAGTAGCAATTTGGATTGCTGCAGTGATTCAGATGCTTTTACAGCTCACATTTTTGTTTATGCTGCCTTCATAACTGACCTGCACATAGTTGACAGTCTGGTTATACCCACAGGTAGCCATTGCCCACCACACAGACCAGTAGAGCAGCTGTCTAGAGGAATAGCAGTGGCGGAAATCCCTCCACAGCTGGAGGAGGACTTGGCCGCAACTCTGCGTAACGATAGATTCCTCAAGGTTCTCAGCATCAGGCTCTCCTTCTCCACTCTCCACCATTTCACCTCCTCCATCTTCCAGTGATGCATTTATTGTGTTTGACTGTTCTGCTGCAGTCTGTCTCCCACGTTTTCGATGAAAGAACATACTCTTCTGTGGCATTGGCAAGAAGAAGGAAGTGAGGAGAGCGATGGCAGTGAGAACCAGAGTGAACACCAGGATGTTGTTGTATGACATGAGGTCGAAGCTGACAAGCAGCTGACCCAACACGGAGCCCACTGTATACCCCAGGAGCTGGACACTGCGGCTGTAAGAGGTGGCCTTCCGGTATCTCTTCAAATCTATTACACTGTAATAAAGAGCATATTCAAAATGTCAAGTCTCCCCTGAGCAATGCTAAAAATCCAAATCTGTGAGATGTACTACATGACCTGTAAATGTAGGAGAAGTAGGCCACGTCGCTGGCTGTCACAACTCCGCAAAAGAACTGCATAGCCTGCATGGCTGGCACACTTGCTGTCCACAGCAGCACTGCTGGGGTGATGAAGAGCATAACACACTGAAACACCACTACAGGCATGTAACGCAGCCAGTCAGTGAGAAGGAACACCGGCACTAGCACGGACAGATAGGAGTATGTCCACACTGGGAAAATTTGATTGTTGACCTGACAGGGAAAAACTCATCAAAGGCAAGAAATGCATGACTTTATAGCAAATGATTAAAGGTTTTAGAATCTTGATTGGATTTCTATCACTTAGATTTTTTTTTGATTTTTTTAAAGATGCCAGTTATCTCTCTGCTATGAATCACCAGCTTGTGTGTGCATGTGTGTGTGATTATTTGTCATTGCAGCATGTACAAAAGAGCAAGTTACCAACTTTTTCACCATAAGGACCGAAAAACTGAAAATCATTTCTTTTCTAAGTCTGTTTTGATTGAATTACACTATAGCCTTTCTAGCATATGTCATATATACCTGCTCAGTTGTCAGATTCTTATCCGGTCCTGTCAAAAATGGGATGAGAAAAGGCTCCAGTGGTCTAACTGTGCTGAAGAATCCATAAATGCAAAGCAGAATAGTCGGATACTTCCAGTCTGATCTCCACTTCTTCACTGCCTCCATGTTGGCTTTCCTGTTTCATGTGTGAGTGTGTGATGGGGAAAAAATACCTCACAACTCTCTAGGCATTTTGTTAATCAGCAACCTGGTCAAAGAGCAACACAATCTTGGTGACACTCTAGCACAAGCTGAGATAAAACTTTGATAAATTAAACAGGTAAGCCCCCCAAACTCTGGACTTTAATACCAATCAGAAGTAACTGTTTTATTATGTTGTTTGTCTTCCTGCCTGGGTTGCAGATAGCAAAAATACACAACACATAAATGTTTGCTTTTCAGTGTATAAACGTTTAATGTTACAGTTTGTAGTGTTTAAGAAAAGCATATTTACAAGCTCTCGTTAGTTAATTTGCAGCTGTTTAAGGTAAATTAGTTCCAATCTTCCAAAAACCTGTCGGGCACTGACACAGGTCAGAGACGCTCTGCAGCAATCACCTCCTCGACACACTCAGGTTCCTTGGCTTCCGTGTGCTGCGGACAGGGATTGTTTACGCAGGCGATGTAGGTTCCTCGGATCAAAAAGAGCAGCGATATGACAGCATAGTAGCTGCCGTAGATGATGAACTGCAGAGCAGAGAGACGACACATAATCCTAAGCATTATTAGAATTATTTTACCTATGCTATGGCAGTGAATCACCTGCATCAAATAGACCTGGATGCAACAGCTAATGATAACCACCAGGTGTCACTCTGTCCTCACATTTCAGTGCTTAAGTTAAGCAGCAGAACGCTGAAGGGGCCATCGGGTTCTTGACTTTGAGTTGTTGTTAAATCCCCGTGTGCTGCCATTCAAATACGCAGTAGTATAATTACAGCCTGTACACGTACCTGCGTCACGATGTCCAGCCCCAGTGCAGCTTCATCAACAACTGTGACTGTAATGATGGTCTGCAGTGAGAGGGCTACAAAAGTGTTGATCCCAAAAGTCAGAGCATAGCACTCCATGGAGAGGTTAGAGGCGATCTGAAATCTGCGGTGACAAAGTCCTTATAATTATGAGAGATTCAGCACATACTCTAAGACTGCAATAGATTTGTGTGGCAATGGAACCAGTATGCTGACTCTAAACTAATATTGTCATCCTTTCCTCTGTATGAACTGTTGGCCAGACAAAACAGTCAGTTTGAATGAATTCTTTAAGTTGTTCTTGTCACTTTTAAAACACATTTAGAGGAGCAGCGTGGAGGAATTCTAACATGCACTTACGTTGTGATGGTGATGAGGAGCATGTAACAGGATTTAAATATGGCATAACCGACGTAGCATAACCAGATGCTGCTCGTGAACGCCATCAGAAACACAGCGCCTGACCCTACAGCTGAGAACATCCCCAAAGCCAGCTCTCCCCACACAACCCAGGTCACCTTGATGTAGCCCACAGAGAAGGCTGCTGCAGCACCTGGCCCATGAAGAAGAAAAATAAAGCAATTAGTCTGACATCCCAGCGGATGGCGCCTCCACTGCACATTTGCATCCTTCCCATTGTCATTCCCTGATTCATCCATTACTCCTAACCTCCCTTTAACGGGAGAATAAAGGCCGCGGTGGCCTCATGCACACTCATGCATTTCCTGGCCTCCACAACGCTTGCTTATTATGATGAACCAGTTTCACCCAACTCCTGGAAACAACTATCAGTAATAATCAAAGAATCCATTACCTTTTAACTCTATCTCCTTAATAGAAGCAATTACTCTTCTTCTTCTCGCACTGAGGCGGGCCGAGCTTAAACCAAAAGGACCAGGGTGCTGCTATTCCCTTTCAAAATCAATACACATTGTCTGTGTAATCAGTTACCACAGATATAGCACAGCTGATTCCCTTTAATTGCAGGTTTTTATAGATCTATGTGCATTCAGAAATGGCAGCCTGTAATGACATTGTTAAATGTTATTTTGCTACATGATGTGGTCGTGCTGCAGTCTTCTCGCCTTTTCTAATTGAAGCAGAGACAGAGAACTCTGATTAGAGTCCTGCTTCCAGCTCACTGCAGTACAAATGAGTGGACCCCCTCTTACATCATTCTTCCTCTACTCTGATATAAAATTAAGTTGAAAAGTAAATTTATCTCAATTTATCTCATATGTCATTTATTAAAAGCATATATATTATATATATGCTTTTAATAAATGAGGTCAGACCAAAACAAACAATATGTATTTCACCCTGACTGATGTAGACACATTCATGCTGTTACAGTCGTTTGACTGGAACATCTTGTAATTATTATTTTTAATCTAAAAAAACCCACTCTAACACCAATCTTACCTACAAGAGAGCATGCAGCCTCTACTCCTCCGTTGTAGATGGATGATGTGGCAGATGGCTCTATATGGTCCCACATAAGTTGGATGTAGTTGAAGACCTGCACGTAGCCAGCTGTGGCCAGAGCCCACCACAGGGACCAGTAGATTAAATGTCTGAATGGTGATAATTATTACAAGAGATTATGATGATGACTGTACAGCTACTTCTACTGTTTAAAAGAAGTACCCTATGAATACATTATAAAAATTTGGACCAATTAGTAGTAATCCCAGGTGTTGATTAAATGCAAGTGGGCACTCAAAGCATCTTAGTGATTTAAAAAAAATATTGAAAGAAAAGAAATGCCTGGAAGAGTAGGACTCCCTGAAGCTTTGCCAAAGCAGATGAACTGCAGCGGCCACATTTTCTCTGCTGCAGTAGCCAGCACTGCCATTATATTCCATCTTCCCTTTCCCCGAGCCTTCTCCATCCTTATCCGTCACTGACTCCTTCTCTCCCTGTGGCCCCTCTTGCTGGCAGTCTACAGCTGCAGCCTTCTTCCCTTCGAAGAACATGCTTGTCTGGGGCATGGGCAACCAGAATGAGACGAGAAATGCCACGCTCACAATTCCCAGGGTAATAGTATTGATATAGAAGTAGTCCAGGCCTGTTGGTTACAATTGATCATTCATTAGTGTTTAAAGTTCAGTTCATAATTTTCTTTCTTGTCATGCATCAAATGTTATTTTTCATATTATTGTGGTCAAATACTACGAAGCCCATACCAGCAAGGGAGACAAGCATTTGGCCAAGGGTGGCGCCAAATGTATATCCAGCCAACATTGCACTGCGCAGGTAACCAGTAGCTCTTTGGTAATTCTCTACTGGAATTACACTGTAAATATAGGAAAAGTAGGCAACCTCCGTGGAAGTCACTACAGCATAGTTGACCTGTTGATGGAATAGAGCAGTTGTAAAGAGGCAGTAGATCATGATAAACTCTATTAAATGCATTAACGACGGTATGATTTAAGTTACAATAACTGGAATAAATACAAAAGCTTATAAAAGATTTCTTCAAGGGTAAGAAAGTGATCCAAACCTGCCCGGCCCTGTGTAAAAAAGATTGTGACTACATTTAACATTAAAAGTTGTTTGATGATCCAAAGGATGTAAGTGTGTCAAGTATGCAAAATAGTAAGAAATCAGGAAGTGGGCAAGTATTTTTTTCACAGCACCTTTCAGTGTTATATATTAATCATTCTTGAAACAACAAGAAGTTTTAACTGACCTGAAGGAAAGTCATAGCAGGAAGACCTGGGACAAAGCACAGTAGGATATAGTTGGTGATGAGAAAGAACCCCTGTACTATAATAAGTGGTTTGTACCTCAGGAAGTCAGTCAGGAGGAAGACGGGGAAAAGAAAGGCCAGGTAGGAATACGTCCAGATAGGAAACAGGTAGTTGGTTACCTGTAGGAAACCACAAGCACCATAAAACAGTACTGATGATCCCATTTGTGCTTCTTTTTCATGACATGCATATCGCACTGCTTATGAAAACTGATGCATGTTTTTTTGTTTCGTTTTGCTTTCATATAAGTACTGAAACTGCAAAACAGATTTGCTCCACTATCAAAGGACCCTGGATCTATATCGGACAACCATCCATCTAAAAGTAGCGAGAGTAAGGTCTGAAAATCTGTTGAAAAGTAAAAGGCCACAGGGAAAGCTAAAGGCTAGGCCTGAAACTCTGATTGTTGGTCACTCTGCTGTAAAGGATGTACAAAGGATGTGCGGTAAGAACACTAAAGCCCTCTGCTTTCCTAAGGATATGGTCAACAACCTGAAGGAGAGAATTCTTCAAATTACAGATGAATATCCAACTGTGACAAACATTGTTCTGCATACAGGGTCAAACGATGTGTCCAAACAACAGTCGGAGGTTCTGAAACGGGACTTTACTGGATTATTAAATACTGTAAACTCTCTGAATGCAGCTGTATTCATCAGTGGACCTGTACCCCCGTCAGAGGAGGAGACGAGAGATTCAGCAGGTTGTTTGCACTGAATAAATGGCTTATATCTGTGATCTGTGTTGATTTCGACTGTGTAATTATTGTTGGGGATTTTAACATCCATGTGGACAACCCTCAGGACAAAGGGACTAAAGACCTGAGTAACACTCTGGGCAGCTTTGGGCTGACTCAGCATGTAGTAGAGACCACACATAATAGAGGACACACTCTTGACCTACGTCTCTCCAAGGGCCTGAGCATTTTGAAGGTTACTGTGTCTGATGTGGGCCTGTCTGATCATTACTGTGTTTTCTTTGAAAGTAAAATTTCAGCCCACACAAATATATCAACAGCAGTGATCACAAAACGGTGTATAACTGAATACAGTAGTGAGATCTTTAACCAGGTCTTCCCATTAACACCTGACCTGTCCAGAGGTTCAGTCAATGAGCTCGTCAATAGCTTCACTGCTAAAATGTTAAATGTAATGGACACTATTGCTCCCATTAAGGTGAATGTTATCTCTGGAAGGAAAAAGTCTCCATGGAGAAACTCCACACTGGTGAAAAATGAAAAAAGAGAGTGTAGGAAAGATGAGCGCAGATGGAGAAAAACAAACCTCCAGGTTCATTATGACATCTATAAAGAGAAACTTCACAATTATAATTTACAACTGAGGAGTGCAAGGAGGTCCTACTTCTCTGACATCATCACCAAAAACAGTCATAATGCTCGGACTTATTTTCTAGAGTTGACAGGCTAACAAACCCTCCTGTGTCAGTGGCAGCTGAACTTCATTCGACCATGGCCTGCAATGACTTTGCCAAATTCTTCACAGACAAAATCCAAAACATTAGACAAGCAATTGGTACATCAACAGCAGATTCAGGATATATACCGTGTCCACTGAAAAACTGTTTAAACACCATCAAACAGTTTCACCCTATTAACAGCAAAGACATCTTAGGTCAATTGAACTCCTCCTCTTGCTGTTTAGATGTCCTGCCAACAAGTTTTTTCAAAAAGGCCTCAAAGACTTTGGAGTCACACCTGTTACAGATCATCAACTTTTCTTTAATGTCAGGTGTGTTTCCAGAACCACTAAAAACTGCTGTAATTAAACCTATACTGAAAAAGGACAATCTTGACAAGACACAAATGAACAACTACAGGAAAATCTCAAATCTCCCATTTTTAAGTAAGATCATTGAAAAAGCAGTTTCTCAACAGCTCAATTACTTCTTAAAACAGAATAACTGCTATGATGCCTTCCAGTCAGGTTTTAGACAGAACTACAGCACTGAAACCGCTCTGACCAAAGTGTTTAATGACATATGTCTGAATACAGACAGTGGAAAAATGTCAGTCTTAGTTTTGCTGGATCTCAGTGCAGCATTTGATACGGTTGACCACAACATATTACTCAAACGACTGGAGAACTGGGCAGGTCTTTCAGGAACTGTACTAAACTGGTTCAAAACATACTTAGAAAACAGGAAATACTTTGTATCAATAGGTAACTTCACATCTGAGCAGACAAGTATCACATGTGGAGTTCCCCAAGGTTCCATCTTGGGACCCCTTCTGTTTAACATTTACATGCTCCCACTGGCACAGATTATAAAGAACAAAAAAATAAACTATCATAGCTATGCAGATGACACACAAATATATATCACAATGTCACCAGGAGACCGAGGCCCTGTACAGGCTCTTGGTAAATGCATTGAGGAAATTAATGACTGGTTGTGCCACAATTTTCTCCAGCTAAACAAAAACAAAACTGAGGTAATAGTCTTTGGCGCCAAAGAAAAACGATCACAGGTCACCAGAGAACTTCAATCTATACACCTAAAAACCACAAACCAGGCGAGAAATTTGGGTGTAGTGATGGATGCAGACCTAAACTTAGAAAAACACATTAAGACAATAACAAAATCAGCTTACTATCACCTCAAGAATATATCAAGGATAAAAGATCTGATGTCTAAACATGACCTGGAAAAACTAGTCCATGCATTCATCTTTAGTAGGCTTGACTAATGTAACAGCATCTTTACAGGTCTACCTAAAAAATCAGTCAGACAACTACAGCTCATTCAGAACTCTGCTGCTCGAGTCCTCACTAAGACCAAAAAAGTGGACCACATCAGTCCAGCTGTGAGGTCTTTACACTTGCTGCCTGTCCGTCAGAGGATAGACTTTAAAGTTCTGATGCTGGTCTATAAAGCTCTGAATGGTTTAGGACCAAAATACATCAGTGACCTCCTGACCCAGTATGAACCTTCCAGATCCCTCAGGTCATCTGGATCCGGTTTTTTATCAGTTCCCAGAGTCAGAACCAGACACGGAGAAGCTGTATTCAGCTTTTATGCTCCATATATCTGGAACAAACTCCCAGAAAGCCTCAGATCAGCTGAAACACTCAGTTTATTTAAATCCAGGTTGAAGACTCACCTATTCTAAGCTGCATTTGAATAAAACACCAAATCAACACTTTTAAGCTTAAATTTCAAAACTTATATTTTAACTACTGATTTTATCTACTGTTTTTTTTAATCAATTTTAAATCGTGCTTTTTATTGTTTTTGTTTTTTAATGTCTCTGTAAAGCACTTTGAATCACCTTGTTGTTGAATTGTGCTATATAAATAAACTTGCCTTGCCTTGCCTTTTAATAAAAGACAGAAAGTGTGTCCGTAGTCCTTACCACTTCTTCAGAAATGTTCTTGCGTGGTCCAATAAGGTATGGTGTCAGGAAAGGTTCTGCAACCCTACAGTTTGCAAAAAATCCGTAGAGTGACAGGATGGCTGTGGGGTAAGCCCATCCAGATGACTTCAACTTGGCCCAGCACCCCATGTTAGTATCTCAGCAAGATTTCCCTGCTGTTGCCTTTTGTTTTTAGTTGCACTTCAGTCTTGATTTAAAAAACACTATCTGGTTTAATACCAAAGCACTTTGAGCTTTCGTCAGGTTCCCTTGTAAGTAGCTAGAATATACCACATAATCTTTATGATCTACACATGCCTTATTCATGCTTTACAAGTAATAGACTTTGACCTGTCGGGGAGCAACAGACGAGAAGAACGGTGAGGAAATAAGTACAGTCATTTATTGTGGGATTGGAGTGACTCACACTCTTAATAGGCATAGTGATATTGGGAATATACAAGTGACTATTCCCTCCCAGAGTATAAAGACAGAGCTGCTAATAAAACAAAACATGAAATATTTGGATGTTTTCAAACAATTTATTACTACAAATGACTTCACTCACTGCATTGAGTTATATGAAAAGATTGGCTAGAGATTGCAGGCAAAATGAAGGCATCCGCATACAGTGGGGTGAAAAAGTGTTTGCCTCCTTCCTTATTTCCGTTTTTTTGTATGTTTATTACACTGAAATGGTTCCGACCACCACACAAACTTACATATGAATGCCACCAGAAATACATTTAAACACAAAATGCTGTTTCGAAATGAAAGTGTTTATTATTAAGGGGGGAAAAAATCCAAACCTACATGGCCCCTGTGTGAAAAAGTGATTGCACCCTACGCCTAAGAACTGGTTGGGCCACCCTTAGCAGCAACAACTGCAATCAAGTGTTTGTGATAACTGTCAATGAGTTACAGACAGCAGAGAGCTGCTTTCTGGTATGCACCACAGTTCATGAACAAACTACAGTGTATAATAAGCTTTGAAACTCATTACTCATCAATCAGTTTGGAAAATTGGGAAATTTTGCATATTTATTTATTTATGAATTCAGTAAATAAAAAAACAAGGGATCGTCTCCCAAAAAGGTGTTTTATGGCATTCACCAAAAACGGATTGTTGGTGTCGTAAATGACTTGTTAGCTCCTGATCTGGCAAACATACCGGAAACATATGTCTTAGTAGTGATAAGTCATTTTGAGCAGGAAATGCCCAGAAGACAGTGGAGATTATTGTGGACTTCAGGAAGCACACAGCCCCACTCCCCCCCATCATCCTGACTGAAACCCTCATCACCTCTGTGGACTCATTCCGCTTCCTGGGTACCACCATCACCCAGGACCTGAAGTGGAAGCCCACCATCACCTCCGTCATAAAGAAAGCCCAGCAGAGGATGTACTTCCTGAGGCAGCTGAAGAAATTCAACCTGCCAACACGGACGATGATGCAATTCTACACTGCAATCATTGAGTCCATCCTCACCTCCTCCATCACCGTGTGGTACGCTGGAGCGACTATCAGGGACAAACAGAGACTGCAGCGTGTTGTGCGCTCTGCTGAGAAGGTGATTGGCTGCAGACTCCCATCTCTGCAGGACCTGTACACCTCCAGGACACTGGGGCGTGCAGCTCGGATCTCAGCTGACCCTTCTCACCCTGGACACAGTCTGTTTGACCTGCTCCCCTCAGGCAGGAGGCTCCGGTCCATTCGCACCAGAACCTCTCGCCATAAGAACAGTTTCTTTCCCTCTGCTGTTGGACTCATGAACAATAACCGTATGACTGTTCCCACCACTAACACATGACCCTACGCTGTGTTCACTGCATCATGCCATGTTTGGCACTGATCCCCACCTGCACTCATGTACATATCTATCTACTTAGCACTTTTAATTCTTATTTTTATTTTTATGTCTATATAAGTATGTCAGTTTGTTTGCACTAAGTACCGCAGCAATTTCCTAATGTTGTAAACCTGCTCAACATTTGGCAATAAAACCCTTTCTGATTCTGATTCTGATTCTGAAAGAGCATTCTTGTCACAAGGTAAAAGCTGCAATTTTTTAGTTTAGCTTTAATTAACTATAAAAACCTTGCATCACAGTTATGTACACATCATTTATGCTTAAAAAAGGACTTAATTTATTATAAAGTAGGACTAATAACGCAAAAACTGTTATTTGAAAAACAGGTTATTTCTTTATTTTATATACAACCCTTTCGTAAATCTAGTTTACTAAAGTCTATTAGAGCAAATATATTAGACATTGAAAAAAAGTGATCGTCTTCCAAAAAGTGACTGCCCGTGTTTAAACTGCTGTACATGACTTGCTGGCCTATAATATTTGAAATATATGTCAAAAGTAATCCTTATGAATGATATCAACTCATCTTGAGCTACAAACAACATTCCTGTCACAAGGTAGAATTTTAGAAGTGACTGTTATATATCCTTTAGCCTATGTATCCCGTTAAAAAAGTCTCACTGGCATTAAAAAATTATTTTTTAAGAGCGATCTGGCAGCAGCATAACAATAGTTCTTTAAAGATATTTTAACTGGCCAAAAAGGACCGGGTCATAAAGATACTTGCAAAACTGGTAATTATTTTATATATAGTCTAAAGTCTATTTATCAGTATATGTAACAAAAAACACACATAGAAACTTGAAATCACTTTTTGGCAGACCAGCACTTTTTGGTACAACACCGGTCCTTTAAGGCTTGTATTAGGCATGCGCGGTAAGCGCACGCGAGTCCGGTCGCCATAACAACGGTTTGTTTCTATGTGATGTGATAGGACCTTATTAGAAGACAGAATGAAACTCAAGCGGTTTCTCCTCAGATATTATCCGCCAGGTAATACAAGTTATGTTTGTAGTCCTATCTAAAATGTTGCTTCTCATGGAGGTTATATGACTGTGCCTAACCTTCATATTAAATCGTTATGACCTAAAGTTTGTCTGACATTAGCTAGTTAGCTAACGCTTTTCAAACTCCAATCGGGAGAAGGGTTAGAGAGTTTGTCATTATAAAACATAACAGGTTAGGTTAACTAGAACCCAGGTGTTGTAATGTCAGCCTCTCTTTAATTGTTTTATTTTTCATTTTTTTATGCTGTCAGGTATAATCCTTGAATACGAGAAAGGAGGATTTCTGAGGACCAAATCAATAGATCTTTTGGATTTGACTCCAGAGTGCGTGAGTTGTACCTGTTAGGATCTCGCTCTCTCTCTCTCTCTCTCTCTCTCTCTCTCTCTCTCTCTCTCTCTGTGTGTGTGTGTCTGATTTCAGCACTGAAGATAATGTCAATAACCAAACTGTTACAACCTACGGTTACATTACCACTAAAAAACGACTTTCTGCAGATAGTTTGCCTGCCTATTTAAAAACACTCTGTAACCATGTTGCATTTATTATGAAGTTGGACTGTGGAGGAGTTGCAATTCCTTAATGTGGCATTACATTAGACTAGAGATTTCTTTTAAATGACCCAATTACTTTAGGAATACCAACATTACTCATTTCAGCTCTTACTGGCAGTCACAAGGGTGTAAATCTGACAACACGGGGAGTGATATTTTCACACACATTAAACATACTTTGGTGAAATTGCAGAGTAAATGTAATCTTTGTTAAGCTGTATTTGTTATCCTAAACCCCTTTTCTGTTTCAATTTTCTTCCCCTTTTCTGTTCCTAATGTCTTGTTTTGTTTTGTTTTTGTTTTGTTTTTTGTTTTTTACTTTTTTTTCTCTCTTTTGCCATCAAGCTACCTAAAATTACAAAAAGACTTATCACATTTTATGTTTTAATATTGTAGAACAAATCCAGATGAGTTGGTGGAAGAAATCAGACAATCAGAGCCTCTGGTCACAAAGGCTCAGGCTGATCAGGTCAAACAGCTGGTTATTCGACTTCAGAAGAAACAGACCCAGCAGGACCATCACAGGTTCTGTTTCTCCAAGGTCAGACACAAAACAGCAGTAAATAAATCAACACGTAGACATGACGCTTACAAGGAATTCCTGCTGGTGAAGACATTTATCTGTTTCCCTCACATTGTTGAAAGTTATTTGGTGCTCCTTGTAACCTTGATTTTAATGAAAGCATGGTTTTATGAACTAAAGTTTATTTTGTCTGTGAAACATGGCACACGTGTTGCTTATTGAGTTATGATATTAATGCTTTTATTCCACACAGACTGTTGGAACAGTAACATTTTTTGCAGCATGAATAAACGGGCAAAATCCATTAGCTCAGCAATTAGCAGATGCTATTTACATATGTGGAATATGATTTGTGAAATTAGTAATCACTGTTTTAGAGAGGCACTAGAAAGCAGCAGTGATCGGGTTACTAAGTCGCTAGTGCTTCATGTGCATGTATTAGGGGAGTTAAATGGCAGTCAGGGTCAGTTGCATTGCTGGAGATCAGAGGTTACTGAATTTATTTTGCCTGCATCTAAAAATTGGGAGATCTTTTTGTTCTTAATGAGAGCAGAAAGTTATTCCACCAGTGGTGGGCCAGGAGGAAGAAGCCTTCACATTACATTATAGTCAAATGAATTATACATACAGAAGTTACATGGGTAATTTTAAAGATGAATGTAGTCAATAACTAAATTGGATTTTTCAGACCAGTTTCAATTTCTTTTGCAGGAGCTCAAGGCACACATACTGCCACTGACAAATGTTGCCTTTGATAAATCTGGGTCAAGGTGAGTTTTTAACACTGAGTAACCTGCCACTTTGTTGTTTAGGAGAAATTACAGTTTGTGCAATTCCCCCTTTTCTCTCACACTGCAGGTTTATAACTGGGAGTTACGACAGGACATGTAGAGTCTGGGACACAGCCTCAGGCACAGAGCTGCACGTGCTAGAGGGTCACAGAAACGTGGTGTATGCAATTGCGTTCAACAACCCTTATGGGTAATGAGCTGTTTTAGGAAAACCTTTATAACATGGGAGGGCCGCATTGCTCAATTTAAGATTCACATGAGTGTTTCATCTTAAAAATGAATGTTTCCTTGCTTTATTTTCTCTCTATTAAACTTAGAAACAAGATTGCGACTGGCTCTTTTGATAAGACCTGCAAACTGTGGTGTGCTGAGACTGGCAAATGTTTTCATACTTATCGGGGACACATGGGAGAAATAGTATGTATAATGATTTGTTTTAAATGAATTTCATTTGTGTTAGTTTTTGGTTGATTGCTGATTCATATTCGAAACACAAGTCAGTATTTAAGCTACGTGAGCATTTAAACTACAAGGTTCTGCTATGGTATTGTGTTTAGTACTTTAACAGGACCTATTATTTTAATTACTGTCTACATTTTTATTCTTGGACTCATAGTAGCTTTGCATGATTTACAAGTAATATTCATTTATCTAAGACTGAGCCTTGGGCAGCTTGTTTCATCTTCTGTTTGAGGCAAGATATTTTACTCCCATTAAGTCCATCTGCGCTCTAAATGAGCTTTTTTTCCTGATTGGCTGTGATTGACTCACAAACAAGAGGTTGGGTTGGGCTTCTGTAAGCATATGGCTGAGATGACCATATTCAGTAAATTGCCATATAGAGCCAAGAATAGAAACAACTGTTTCAAATTGAGAGTTTAGAGCAGTTCGTATGCCACATGCTATTCAGCTTTGCTACGGAATACAATACAATACAATCTAATTAAAAAAGTTTTGTAGGTGTGTCTTGCATTCAACCCCCAGAGTACGCTGGTGGCCACAAGCAGTATGGACACCACTGCCAAGCTGTGGGATGTGGAGAGTGGGGAGGAAGTGGCCACACTGACTGTGAGATACCTTTTCCCCAAACTCTGTCCCATTGCTTTTCTTACTCTTCTTATCCTGGTGTTGTGACCCACATTCATTCATTAATGATGATTCATTAACTTTTTGTCAAGTGCTCTTGATGACCAACATTTTTAGCCGTTCTTACATTCACAAATGATCTGATAGGAATGTGACTAACTCTTTAAGAAGGCGCTGATAGCCCTCTCTAAGGGGAGTAGTGAGACCTCTTTAATGTGCAGACTGCACGTGGGTTTATAGTGTGACTTGCTGAATCTGTCTCAGCAAGGAGCAACTCTCTGCCCCTCTCAATTCACTTAGCTTCTCACACCATGAAGAATCAGTAATGCAGTCAACTGAGTGCAGATTCTTTAATCTATGTTCTTTTTTTTTTTAGTTAACTTCAATTTTATAAATCTACCGGTAAGGCTAACCTGTGTATTTATGTTAACAAAATCAGGAGACTATAATGTGGGGGGCTCACACTAGCTATGACACCATTTAGTTGTCAGACTGCACACGCCTTTGAAAACATTAAACATTATGCACAAAATACCTCAAATGAGCCCTAAAAAGTAAAATAAATGAGGGACAGGTGATTTAAGTGGGCAAGAGCCACCACTTATGAATTGGACCACACTTACCTTCAAACTCATTCTGATCTTAAATACACACTTCTAAAGTTTGGAGGCTGTACTTTGCACTGTTGGGACAAATCCGTCCAAGGACAGTAAGACATAAACACCTGGAAAAGTACTTAAAGCTGCCTTTGATGTAGTTCCTTCTAGGACAACAGCCCCATTTTTCTGCAGGGACACACACACACACAAAGCGAAAATAATCAGCTGTATAAGCCACACTGTTGTGGTTGGTAAATATTTGCATTTTATGATGCACTTTTTCATCCATAATGTGAGCGGCTGTGAGGGAGAAACGAAATAAGACAGTGAGAGATAATGCCATCTCCTTTCAGGGTCACACTGCAGAGGTCCTCTCGCTGTGCTTTAACACAGTGGGCAGTCAACTTGTCACTGGTTCCTTCGACCACACAGTCGCTATATGGGATGTTGCTTCAGGAAGGTCAGAAGTTATCAATATTATGCATCGATTTGTGCATGTGTCATCTTTTATACTTCACAGAGAATGTAACACTTATCGATTCTGCCTTACAAAGCTGTGAGACTGATTAATTGCTGTTCAATTCCTTGTTTTTTCCCCTAGACGGGTCCACACACTCATTGGTCACATGGGAGAAATAAGCAATACTCAGTTTAACTGGGATTGCTCCTTGATTGTTACTGGTTCCATGGATAAAACCTGCAAAGTAAGCTATCATTAAGCCCAAATATCTTTTTTGTTGTTGCCAAAATCTCTTGTCAGAGGTTGAAAACATGTCTGTTTGTATTTACCATCTCAGTTGTTTGAGCATTTGTATTTGCTCGCTTCAATTTCCCACTCTCTCGCAAACTCCTGTCTCTAAGGTCTATGGAGAAAAATTAAATCCTAATTCCTTAATTACAACAAGATGAGTCACGCTCACAAGTGAGAATTATCCACCTCGCTGCATTCCTCTGAGGGAGATGGCCATAATAAAGCCACTTTAGAGTTTAATGCTACATTCACACATGCATACTTCATGAGTTTGGTGTTTCCATGAATGCATGCTCCAGTTATGTAGTTCGCTCCTGTGTGCATGTATTATTCTGTTTTTTTTTGTTTATTCTTGTTTTTTGTAAATGTGTTCGCAGGTTTGGGAGACTGTCAGTGGGAAGTGTGTTGCCACCCTCACTGGACACAAAGAAGAGGTGTTGGATGTGTGTTTTGATTTAAGTGGTCAACTCATTGCTACTGCCTCAGCTGATGGTGAGACAACACTTCAGTCAAAAGATTACATTCCGAGTAAAACTGTACTAGCACAGTATTACAAACGTACCCTAAATATACTACTTGTGCAGAATTTAAGATTCTGCATTTAAGATTTCTACAAATATCTAAGCTTTATTGGTTGTATAAATTTGGATTTTCCACAACAAAAGCAACATTTTTATAATTTTGTAAGCTGTACCCTTGTGCTGAGAACTCTCTCTCTTCCTGAAACTCTCAGGGACAGCAAGAGTGTTCAGTACAGCAACACATCAGTGTCTTGCAACCTTAGAAGGCCACGATGGCGATATCTCCAAGGTAAGTTGATGAAGCCAAACTGTCTGTTCTAAAAGAACAATTTAAGTTATGGCTATTTTTGTCATCTATTTATATGTAATTAAATGAAAAAGCATAACTGTGTTGCTCAAGCTTTTTCAGCATTTTATCAATCTTCTCAACTTTGTGAGTATTAACTATTATTTTAACTTGTAAAGTGTAACCCTGCCCCTTGGTACACCTTACGTATATCAGGTTTTTGCTGTTGGCAAAGCTGGGTTAAGGTGAGTTTAGACATGTTTTGGCATTTTAAATAATGCTTAATCGTTACTAAGGATGTCGAAGTTTGCCATACCCAATACCATTATACCACCAGCAGCCTGAACCATTGGCTGTATCCCAATTCAGGGTCTGCAGCCTTAAAGGCCGCATTTTAAGGCCGATTACCTCACAGCGACGCGACGAAGGCTGTCCCAATTCAAAGGCTGCTCGAAATGCGGCCCTCAAATACGTCCTTCATTTCCCTGAATTTTAAGGACGTGGCGGTGTAGACTTCGTGGCCCAACATATCCCAGAATGCATAGCGCGGCGGTGGGTGTGGATAATTTTGCCGAAAAAAAAACAGTGGATGAGGGGCACCCGAAGAGTAAACTTTAAGTATGTACTGAATATTATGTCACTTATTTATGTGCAAATGTTTAATAACGAAGAACATTAAAACATTACTGTTGGCCACATGTCGGCAAAGTTATGTGACATTAGTGACGTTTGTGCTAACTTGGTTTTACAGCCTTTACTTTAAAATATACGCCGTTCAATAGCTGAGCTTAATCTTACAGAGAATGATCAAAGCTCATGTAGAAACAAACAAACAAATGAACAAAGGATTTTCTCCTTCATTTCTGTCAAACAAAGCTGTATGAAACGTTTCCAGCTGTTAGTATCATGGTTGCTAGGCAACCTGGGCAGCGCGACGGAGGCTAGACCGTCCCATTTCACAAGCCTAGCACTTCCGGCCTTAGCGGTCTTTAAGTACGCGGCCCTTGAGGATCGTTGAGGCTGCGTACTTTAAGGCTGCAGACCCTGAATTGGGATACAGCCTTTGATTCAGGGGTCAGGCTGCTTTCATGTTGTTTTCACCAAATTCTGATCGTACCATCTAAACCTTGCAGCAGAAATTGTGACTCATCAGACCATACAATATTTTTCCAATCTCCTGTTGTCCAATTTTACTGAGTGCCTTTGAATTGTAGCCTCAGTTTCCTGTTCTTAGCTGACAGGAGTGGCTCACAGTGTGGCCTTCTGCAGCTGTATTGACATCTTGTGTGTTCAGATATGCTCTTCTGCATATTTTGGTTGTAAGGAATGGTTGTTTGAGTTACTGTTGCCTTCTTGTCAGCTTGAAGGAGTCTGGTCATTCTCCTCTGACCTCTGACATCAACAAAGTATTTTCACCCAGAGAACTGTCGATCACTGGATATTTTCTCTTTTTTAGTCCACCCTATGGTTGTAGGTAAAATTCAGTAGAAAGTAGTTACACTGGCCCATCTGACACCAACAAACATTCCATGCTCAGCGACACTAAAATCACCTTTCTTCCTAATTCCGATTCTCAATTTGAGGTCTTTTCAACCATGTCTATGTGCCTAATGGGTGCCTAAATGCACTGCTGTGATGCCGTGTGATTGGGCGATTACTTCTTTGTAGCTATTATAGTTAAAGAGCAAGGATGTGAGACTGTTATGTTTTTTAAGTTACTGATTTCATAGCAAACTTTTACCCATTTGTGAGTCTTATGTTTGAAACCATTCCGAAAATGATCTCAGTATTCGTATGGCAAATGTAGTAATAAAAATAAGAACAAATTATTAAGTATTCTATAACCAGGGCCACAGCCACAACTTTGGGCATGCGTCATGCAGCTAGCAGCTGTGAATAAACTTGTGATTTTTGTGTAATATTGACTCAGACCACAGTTTTCCTCGCCAGTGCTTTAAATAGGTCATTTTTTTAAATTACCTAGGTAACATGTGACAGAGTGTGATGCTGAAATGGAGGGACAGGACTCGAAGCTTCAGGATGTTTTGAGTTATCGCCAGAAATCTGTGGGCACAGTTCTAAACCTGATTAACATGGCCTGCTAGTAGTAATGCAAGCACATGCATGCGAATACTCTGGCATGAGGCACTGCTGTCTGACCCTGCACTGACCTTGTTCTTTATTTGGAGCGATATCACCCATTTAATATTTGTCAAGTGCGATGCTCTGCACGAGTGTGGGGTTTCCACAGGTCCTGGCTCAGAGGGCTTCTCTGTATGCATTTACTAAAACACATTAGACAGCCAGTAATAAACAGGCTGGATGGAAGATGATTCCAGGGGATTATGACACTAATCTCTCCCTAACAGGACACCAGCCATCCTCCTGTCCATGCTTCTTAACCATTTTCTTCCCCATGTTTTTCTCCTTCTATTTCAGTGTCTCACTCAGTAAGCTTTTAATTTTATTTGTATTACATCTCAGTCCCTGTAGTAAATTCACTTTGCTACCCTTTTGTTTGTGAATAATAATATATTATAAATGATGGAATGCTAATTAAATGACTAGTTCTAAAGGTCTAAAGATATTTTTTTCTTTGTGGAAGATTGTATAAATCAGCATTCCCCAACCTTTTTTGCGCCATGGACCGGTTTATGTCCAACAAATGTTTTCACGGACCGGCCTTTAAAAATAAAACCAGTATCGGTAGCAAAAAAAAAAAAGATTTATCCACAACACACGGGAAAAGACCCAGGGAAACCGAGTTAATGAGAAAAACGATAAAAAAATAACGATAAAAATCCTGAAAACCATAACTTTCACACTCAAGCTTCAACTCTCGCGGCCTGGTACTAAACGATTCATGGACCCGAGGGGTTGGGGACCGCTGGTATAGATAGCTTCTTGTAACTGTGTTTTCAAACTAAGCATTAAGAGGACTCTTTCCTATTCTGGATGCTCCATTTGCTTTATTCTTGCCCTTAATTCAAATCAAAATGACAATCTAATGGAAAAAAATCAGTGTTTGATTAAATTTGTAGAGCCCATTTACAGCATGCTCCAAACTTTCATTGAAAAAATCCATATGGTGTAGGAAGTAGCATTTTTGCAGGTCCGTGTTGAAATGTGTTTTAAAATTAACTTTAACCTCTACAGCTAACCAACAAAAATGGTTCTCGTAGTTTTGAGTCATTCTTACGCTACAAACAAGATGTGATTGGTTAGGCCAATGTAACCTAGTGACCATGCAAGAGAGACGATATTGAGTAATGCCAGATTAAACAAATGCTTTAGCCTTGTTAATCCTTCCTCCATTTGATATATACAGTTATATAAAAAGGAAAGTTCACTTGCTTCCAGTCTGGTAAAAATAATCTCAGATTAACAAGAACACATGACGTGGTGTCATTATTTATTTAACACAGCGGTGTCCAAACCCAGGCCTTGAGGTTTTAGATGTGTCCTTGGTCCAACACAGCTGAGTTAAATGGCTAAATTACCTCCTCAACATGTCTTGAAGTTCTCCAGAGGCCTGGGAATGAACTAATCATTTCATTCAGGTGTGTAGACTCAGGGTGAGATCTAAAACCTGCAGGACACCGGCCCTCGAGGCCTGGAGTTGTCCAAGCCTTATTTAACATAAAACTAAGCCAAATGTAAAAGAAGTGTGTGAAAGGCTAAGAACACCCTTGTTGCTTCCATAGGGGTTAAGAGGACAAGTAACTGCTAACTGCTGCAAATCAAATGCATTTATTGATCATCAGCATCAGTTAGCATGCTAAATGTTAAAGTTCATAATGGCATAAAGAGAAACAGACTGAACAAGTTTGGCTTGTTTGTGAGGGTGCCTGGAGAAAGCGTGTTCTCTCTAAAAAGAACCACATGACACCTGCAGCAATATCCTTTTAACAGACAAGACCACAGTGGAGATGTTTGTCCACAATGCAGTGTTTATGAGGATATTTCCAAAACTGCAAAATAGAAAATGTATATCGACACAAACACCTCATACAAACTGTCAAGCACAGCGGTAGAGGGGTGATGGTTTAGTTTTAGTTTGAAGCTGCAGGTCCTGGGCAACTTGGAGTCACTGAGGTGTCTGTGACGTTTTCTGTATACCAAAATATTCTAGAGCCAAATACGAGGCTTGGACTAAGTTATGTAATGAAGCGGGACAGTGATTCTAAACAGACCAGCAAATCTACAACAGAATGGCTGAAAAGGTAAAGAGTCAGGGTGTTGCAATTGCCCGGTTTAAGTCGAGAACTCAAACTGATTAAAATGCTGTGACTGGAGCTTAAGAGAGCTGTACACATGAATGAATGCCCTCAAACCTAAGTGATCAGTCTAGCTACTTAGTATTTTTATCCTTGAGGTATTGGTTCTATCGCTAGTCAGCTAACATAAACTAATGTAAGGCAGCAACCAACAAAACAACCCTGTGACGTCTTGTTGTGTACTGACACAACATATGACCTTAAAAACACTTATTTCTTAAATCCAGCTTCTCAGACAGTGACATTAGACTAGTGCTCCATGATGTAATTTAGCCTTTCTACACATAGTGTTTCATGTCCACTTTAATATGCAGTATGCAACTGAGACACTCATCAGCTTTGTTTACTTTTTATCTCATTCCTTTACTCTTTTTGATCTTTTTCTCTTCGCTGTCCATTTTAAAACATCAACCTTCCATTTTGGCACCTGTCATAGTTTCCACCCACACACACACCCCACCCACACCTCAATCTTCTTTCCTTGCCAGCTTCTTCTCTAGACACTTTCCATTTCCTGTCTGGGGGTCTCTCGTTGGCGCTGAGTTTAGAATTTTAATAAAAAAACATACTTTACTTTCATGGCCATCTAGGGCCAACTTCATTTAATCATCCCTTCCTTTACCTCACTGTTAGGATATAAAACCACTCAGGGAATGATAAACCCAGACTATAATACAATCAGTTTCAGCCATGATTTTCATAACGCTCCTCTATCATCTCAGAGTAGTTCCACTGGTGCCTTTATCCTCCTTAAGCATTTTAAGTTGAATGACCTCAATGGAGTAATGCTACTGATATGGTAAAATTGGTCTAGACTTACCCATTTCCACCCCTCATGTCATTTCTACTTTCTCTGGCATAATCTCTTATTCAGCAACTTTGTTGCAAATGTAGCACAACCCTCGAAAAAAGGCTAACTGTCCTGGCTCTGCCTCTCTTGGTAGATCTGTTTCAGCCCTCAGGGCACCAGAGTCCTGACTGCCAGCTCAGACAAGACAGCTCGGCTCTGGGATGCACACTCTGGAGTCTGCTTACAAGTCCTGGAGGGGCACACAGATGAGATCTTTTCCTGCGTCTTCAACTACGAGGGTGACACAATCATTACAGGTACATAGAACTGACACAGAAAACACACATAAACCCCATCTGACCACCGTACACTGTTAAAATGTAGCTGTAGGAGGCAAATGTACTCTTCATCACAAGCCGTCACAAATGCTTAATTGCAGTTTTTAGATGAAAAGCGTGCAGCTGTGTCCTTCTGTGCAGCTATCCATTTGTATTTGTGCTTCCCTGCAGGCAGCAAGGATAACACATGCCGGATCTGGTACTGAACATTACCTGAGGCTCAGGAGGGCATTTACATGAACACAACAATCAAATTGTGTTTGCCAAATATCGCCCACTTTGTGTCTGCTCGATTGTGGACTACTGTAAAAGAAAAACACAAAAAAATCACAAACTCCTGCTCAGTTTAGTCTTTGACTTCTGTTTGAAGTTAATGTGGTCCTAGAAATCAACAGCAGCTTGGAATCTCTGCTCAGAAGATGTCATCAAAAGGAGTCGAATTCTTCAATTTCAAAAGCTGTTTATGTTTTGTTCAAGCAATAATTGACGTTATAGGAAATAGATGGATTAACTGTACATCATATAGTACCATGCAAAAGTCTTGAGCCGCCACTTGTATTTTGCTATGAAAATAGAAAACTAAATGATGATTTCTGGAAGCATGGAAATAAAGTATAGAAGCAAAAACAAAGTTTGTATAATTCTAATAATTTTGGAAGTCAATAATTTAAATTTGCTTTGTTGTCATTTCTTCAAGTAGTTGTCTTTAAATTGCGTCAGACTTTATGACACACTGCAGTCTATGCTGAGAAAGGACAAGTTGTCGGTTAATAGCTCTTTGGGAATGACGTTGTTGGTCCAAACATACTTTTATGTCTGTCAAACTGCAATTCTTGGCATCTTTGATAGATTCAACTAAAGAAATGGAAACAAACGAGTGTTTTTGCAAAAGGCTGCCACTAATAAAGTAGCAGCCTCTAAAGAAAGAGTTCTTTCCTGAGTTGTCTGTTATGTGTAGCCACAACACTCGTTCATCCATTAAATTAGATGCTGTTTAACTTATTATTTATAGGTCACTGTTAAGTGGCTTAATGTACAAAAACATCTGAAAATGTTCTGTTATAAGGACTGGGCTGAAAATGAGTGAAAAAGCAGCCAATGTCAAAAGAAAAGCTTAAAAAGAAGTTCAGAAAGTCTTAAAAACTTTTTCTCAAGACCACTTGAAAAATGACAAATTAGTAAAGTCTGGGTTATTTGAAAATGAAGAAATGAGGGGTGGGTTTAGACTTCTGCTCAGTATTGTTGTTTTGTAACTAGCTACATAACTTGTGTCATACTCCAACAACAGCAATTGTAAACATTTTTGCATCTACCTCCTAAAACCATCGTGTTGGCGCATGCACAGAAATCTGCGACAAGCTTATTGGTGGTTTTCAGGTAACTTCACATCATTGTAGGAGTGCCCACCTGATGAGAAAACACAGGCTTTTCTTTGCTTCCCACCACTATTTTTTGCTATACAACATGCTGAATGAGTCTGTGACTCAGTTCACAGTGACAAACAAATCACACAGCAACGCTTGCAAAGTCCCTTCCATACAAGAGCAATGTAAAAATCACATACATTCCTCCTTGTCCACACTAAGGTTGTTAGTCACGGGTAATTTAAACTGACATTGGAAAAAAGCTCTGATTAGATTTATGTCATGTTACATTGTGTACACCCAACTAACATATTACTAACCTGTCAACTACTGCCCCACAGTGTTGACTGTAGTGACCCTGAAACCTCTAAATACTGTTGGGTAGCTGCCTACCATTAGTTAATTAGCACTCACCTTTGCTTTGACAATAAAGAATTTCTTGTTCTTCATCACTCAAACTGCAGATTTATTGTCCAACCCAGACTGAAAATACATTGACTATCCTTTTGTAGTCTGTGACTGAAATTCTCTGTATTCACATATGGATTTTAAATCTCCCAAACATGATGTTCAATCAGATATCTTTATCTTCTTTCGAGAGCTCATCAAAAAGCTGGTGGTTTGAAACTGATGGAAAATTGGCAGGCAGCTCTATAAAGTGTCTGTCATAGCTGGCATGTTAGAACAGCGTTTTTCTCGCCAAGTCCCCGCATTATCACACAACTAAAAACTATGACGTTTGGGAATTCTCAAATTGCTACTTTAAAGCTCTGTGTTGAAATATGGTCTTATGGATTTTTTATGATAGGGAGATGTAGATTAAGATTATAAAACCTTTATACCTTCTTATAGATTTGTGCTAGACCCAGCTACACTACATGAACAGAGCTATAGGGCCACGGTACTAAATCTTTAAATTCAAGTGTCTTAAGTGTATAAAATCAAGCACCTAGCCAGTCTGTCTTTGTGAGAAAATGTCTCTTTCTAAAGAGCTCATTCAATTAAAATGTGGGACTGTAATAGGACACCACCACTGCAAGTCAGCCATTATTTTTTGTTCATACTACCTTCTCTTTCCCCGCACCCCCAACCAGTCACAGCAGATGGCTGCCACTCATTGAGCCTGGTTCTGTCTACCAAAGGTTTCTTCCTGTTAAAAGGGAGTTTCTCTTTCCCACTGTCACAGAGACCTTGCTCACAGGGGTTTGTGTGTTTATTGGGGTTTCTAATATTGCAGGAGACTGCTGTTTTGAATTGGCGTTATACAGTTGTATACAACTGTGATGTATACAGCACTGTTCCTGAATGCTAACTACAATAAATAAACCTATCAGTATGGTTGTGTTTAGTAGTTTTAATTCTCTCTTTTTGGGGAAACAGTTCAATGGAGTGTAATAGTGTGCATAAATGTACCCCTGAATATTGAGATTTTATTTTCCCTGGTTTACAAATGACACAACACTTGCTCTTATTTCACATCACAGAAATTTATTGATGTCAAAAGATAAATACATTCATTTCTACTGTGACCAAGTTTACAGCTGTGTCATGTGCTTTTCCCCCCGCGATGGTGTTGTAACACAAGATTACCACTAAGTAGAGAAATATACTGACCAAATCCACATACAAATTCAACATTACAAACCTTACTCTGTCTTTTTAGACATAGCAAAAGCTAAAGGAGCGGTCCACTACTCCAAGGTGCAGCAGTTCAAAATCTACAGTATATACAGTACAGCTATCCAAAATAATCCCTTCTTAAGTAACATGAATAAAATATCATACGTACTGAGTTTCAAAGTCACAACAGAGGTGGTACGTTAGCCAATGGACACAACAAAAATCTGGACCTTTTACTTACATTAAGTAAATGTGCACTTCAATGTGACCATCAGAAGAAAGTGTCAGGGCTTTTTTGGGCTTAGATTTAAAGAGCCTCTTTTAAAAGTAGTTTTAATACAAAAGGTTTGAGCATGTTGAGCTGCGGGAAGGCTACAACCTGATTTTCCTACAGTATGTCCTATAGGTGCCTTTCTCTGAGTGAATAAATAAATAAAATCATGATTCGACTGTGTGAATTTGTAAATATATATTTTCTATATAACCTGGAGCAGTTAGAACCTGCTGACTATGATCACTGGAGGGCTCATTCATTCCCATCAGGAACGTCCAACCCGTGTACCTACAGTTTGCCGTGTGTTTGCGTGCATGTCGCTAGAGAGGTAACTCTGGAAACAAGAACATGCTCTCGTTAAAGGGAGATCGGTCCAACTGGACAAGGGTGAGAGGTATGAATTTCTCAAGTATGCCGATTGCGTCGTGCTTTCAGCTCTCAGTAGGAGACACTTGGTGTGATGAGACAATACACGCGCAAACAGGAACATGTTACAAATGTGAGCGAATGAGTGAGCTTGTATTGTTACTGTTTGCGATTAGAGGTGGCAAGTGTCCTAAAGTGTCTCCAGAAGCCAATCGAACAGGCTTGACTGGAGAGACTTGCCCGCTTCTTCCGCTTTCTCGTGCAGCTTACAGAACTGAACCACAGCGCCAAACAAGTCTGCAATCCTCCATGCCTTCTGAGACATCAGGTGGACCACCCTCAGGAACTGGGACAAAAAAAAAAAAAAAAAAAAAAAAAAAAAAGAAAGGTACAGTCTCATGAGCTTTTGATTTATTTTTTCCCCCACAGTTAAATCAGGTAAGAAAATGACCATAACAAAAAGCAAAAACAATACATCAGTAACATGATCTGCTTATAAATTTATTATTTGACAAGCCAGCAGCTTTGCCTACCTTTGCAACTCTCTTCTCTTTGGACTTCCTGAAGTAGAGAGCAGGAAGGCCCAGCTCCGAGGCAGCGATCCACTGTAGAGCCACTCTCAGCTCCAGGTCCATGCACTCTGGCTCAAGGTCACAGTTTACCACCAACAGCTCCCTGATGCTTCCGTCGCCTGCTGTTCTTGCTGAACTGCTCTCTAACAGATCAAATATAATATGGCATAACGTAGTACGAGTCAGCACTGAATAACACCTTGATGATAGCTATACTGTCCTCACTAACAAAGCAGTGTTGGGGCGCACAGACAATTCAGCCTGGTCTAAACTCACTGAAACATCAAAAGAAAATTAATGTAGTCACACAGCGTGTTCAGCTCTCCTGGGCTCAGTTTTGCTTCGTCTTTAAACAATGATGATCTTTGAGATGAAACACTTCTGGAACAATGGGCCTTTAAGATTTTATGAAGATATGAATACACACACACACGTGCGTGTGCGTGCGTAATTTTTGAGGCTTAATCACAGCACTCCGCCTTGAATCCCTCAAGAGTTCCTGATGAGTAATAAGATGTTTAAACTGAGGAAGGTGTATAATTCACAAGTGGATATAACACTTTAAGATTTTAAGAGCAATTATTTGGCGATTCAAAAATCCGACATTCCAATATATCGATCAGTGTTTTGTTTACACACACACACACACACACACACGATCCAACATTTGTTGCGTGTTTTTATTCATTTACTCACCCAAGTCTGCTCAGATCAGCTGGTTGTTGTACACCACTTTGCATTAAATTGTTTTTCATTATTAATCTCTGGCTGATCAAGTAATAGGTTTCGACCTGTTAAAAGGACGTTTTTCCTTTCCACTGTCACCAACTGCTTGCTCATAATGGGTTATATGATTGTTGGGGTTTTCTCTCTATTATTGCAGGGTCTTTACATTTCAATATAAAGCACCTTGAGGTGACTGTTAATTGAACTGAATTGAGATTGTGCTGTGTTGCCAGTAGGGAAGTTGCAGATTGTCCTCTGGTGGACAAACTATGCAACATCAACACTCATAATTTCATTAAATGCCATTTCTCTACTTTTTGAATTTTTTTTAACAGTTAATAAATACCAATACCAGCAAATTGATAAATAGCTAATATCCACTAAATTAGCCAGTCTCTAAATAACACCATTGATGACTACAAATTTGAAACTGCACTCACCAAATACAGTCTCTTTGGCTCCTGCCAGGTGGCATCTCTCAGTCTCCTCGCTGTAAAGAAAGAAAATAATGGAGACTAAAAGTTTCACATATGTTTGACATACATTAATGAAGCATTTTGAAATTTTGGGAAAAGCAGTACCATTAATGCTTAAGTGGGAAATAACCAACTTGCAATGCTATAGCAAGGAAAAGCATCAAGCCTGGCTCTCCAAAGGTAACAAAATCTGGATACAAGCACATCTTGAAAGCTCGCTAATTGCAAAGTTG